GCTGCCTCTGACACAGGAGGAAGCTGCTGAATTCATTTCAGGCTTGCAGAAAACTTCCCTTTGCTCCCAGCCCTCTCTGCAGTCCCCATCCAGGCTGGTGACATTGCTGTGACCTTGCAGCAGGCACCCAGTGCCAGCTCTGCTCCATCCCCACTGCTCCCAACCACAGCCCCTCTCCCTCCCCCTACCAGCAAGAGCCACAATTTCAATTTACACCAAGTAAATGATTCATCACCACCTAAAGAGGCCTGAGAGAGCCCGGGAGGGAGCAGGGCTGGGAAAAGGAGGGGGGGCAAGATGGGGGTAAAGATACAGAGATGAAAAGCTTGGTTAACCTGCTCTGTATCAGCTCCTCTCCTCGGGGCAGAGGCCAATCAATCCTCCCCCCTCTCTCCTGTCTGTGGGTCTGTCTGTCTCTGCCTCTCTCTCAGAGGACTCGAGTTTCTCAGTGTAAGGTTAGGACAGCAGAGCTGTGGAAATCAATTCCTGAGCCCTGGCACGCTGCCCTGGGCACAGACAGCCCAGCTCTGCTGGGAAAACATGGATGGGGAGTGGGAGCTGAGGAGAGCTGGAAATGGGGGTCTGGGGAAGAGGAGTTGCATCAGCCCTTGTAGGGAATATTCCAAAATAAGAGAGGTGTGTCACCCTGTTCTTCTAAGCCTTCTGATGTTTACATTCTTGTAATAAACTTTCTCATGCAGTTTTATGTAAATAATTTTTGTTTTACGTTCTTCTACAGAAGAAGAAAAATTTAACAGACTGTTGGTTTGTCCAGTGTCATTAAAGAAGCAGCACTTTCATCCTCCAATCCACTGTCACTTTTGAAAATCTATAAATGTTAAAATCAAAAAATAAACTGTGACCGTGTTTGTGACAGTGTTCACAGGGGTTCTTGGATGAGGGGAGAGACGAGAATGTTGACTCCATGTTCAGAAGGCTTGATTTATTATTTTATGATATATATATATATATTACATTATAACTATACTAAAAAGAAATAGAAGGACAGGTTTCCTCTCAGAAGGCTAGCTAAGAATAGAAAGGAATGAATTACAAAGATCTGTGGCTCGGACAGAGAGTCCAAGCTATCTGGTCTGTGGTTGGCCATTAATTGTAAACATTCAGGATGGGCCAATCAAGAATCCACCTGATGCATTCCACAGCAGGAGATAACCATTGTTTATATTTTGTTGCTGTAGCTTCTCAGCTTCTCAGCAGGAAAAATCCTAAGGATTTTACTGAAAAGATGTCTGTGACACGTGTTCACAGGGGTCTCAGGATGAGGGAAGAGACGAGGATCTGACTCCATGTTTCAGAAGGCTGATTTATTATTTTATGATATATATTATATTAAAATTATACTAAAGGAATAGAAGAAAGGATTTCATCAGAAGGCTGGCTAAGAATAGAAAAGGAAAGAATGATAACAAAGGCTTTTGGCTTGGACAGAGAGTCTGAGCCAGCTGACTGTGATTGGCCATTAATTAGAAACAACCCCATGAGACCAATCCCAGATGCACCTGTTGCATTCCACAGCAACAGATAACCATTGTTTCCATTTTGTTCCTGAGGCCTCTCAGCTTCTCAGGAGGAAAAAATCCTAAGGAAAGGATTTTTCATAAAAGTTGTCTGTGACAATAAACTTCCCTTCTTTTTCCCTTAAAAGTTCCAGTGTAGATGCCATTTTATTTCATGTCCTATAGTGACAGTGGTGTGCATGGGAGAGAAAAAACCACCCTGCTGTACCCATTGGACAGTTCTCACCTGTCTCCCAGTCCACCTCTGCTCCTTTTAATGGTTTATACTGGAGGAGGATGAGGGAACAGCGTGGCTTTGCCCAAAAATTTGGCTCCCAACCCTGCCCTATCCCAGCTCCTGCACAGCCCAGCTGCCTCCTCCCTGCCTTCCCCATCACTGGATTCAGCCCTGCACTGGGAATCCCCTGGGATTCCTGACTGGGAGGGAAGAGGGAAGGGTTGGCAGCCAGGATGGGAAATGTTGATGGCATTTTTCCCCAGGGATCCTCGTGCAGGAGTTGTTGATGACGTATCCCACTTGAGGAAAAGTCTGTTAATGAGGCTTGAGGGGTCCTGATGTGCAAAAATTTCTAATTAGAGACTCAGTATTCCAATATCCTTACCCTGAATATCCTGTGCAGCCAAAACTTGTTGAGTGGGATGTAATTGGCTCCTTTGCTCTCAGGGCTGCCCAAAAGGATGAGGAAACTGAGACTCAGAAAGGAGCACCCGAGGCTGCCCTGAAAACCCCTCCCAAACTAGGACTGAAAATCAGATTTCTTAACTGAGAGGGAAGCAAAAGACTTGAAGTGGGATTTGATAACATTTGCCTTCAAAGTGCTTCAAAAAAACCCCTCAGGGAGTCAATCTCAGTGACCCTGCTGCGAGGTACATAAACAAGAGGTGTTTCTCTTTCCCAGATAAGGAATCAGAGGTTAAGTGGCCAGAGGGAGGAGGACACAGTGCCATCAGCCAGGTCCAGGCTCCAGCCACACTCCTCCCTCAAGGGCTGAGCCTGCACAGAGATGTTTTTGACCAAATTCAATCTGCCAGCCCCACCCATCACCCTCCATTTCATTTCCAGTACTCCTCACTCTGCAGCTCTCTGTGCCCCTTCTCTCTCTTTTGGGGATTTATTGCTGCATGTTTTGACTCTTTGTTGCCACTGACCCTGGATGCAAGGAGATGAAATATCCAGCATTGCTGTGGTACAATCAGTGAACAAATTAATGCCTTTCTATGCTGCTTGCAGATCTCTGTGCTGTCCCTTCACTGACAGCAAACACACTGGAGATGGATGCAGCGTGAGATGGGGTGGGAACACACTATAAAGCTCTGTGTCAAATGGAAATATCCTCAACTCAGCAAGATGAAAGTTTTCTGGGCTCTTACCCACCACACCACAATTCAGGACTGGTTTGCCAAGGTTCTCTTGAACAATTCCAGAGCATGAGCCCCATTTTTGGGCATGTTTTGGGATGGATCCCCCAGATCTGATTTGAAATTAGGTAGACTGCCGTGGTTTTGGATGAGGGTCACACAAGCTGACAGAAGCAGAGCATTCAGAGGATCGACAGAAGGCTGGAATATGGTCCAGGTTTGTTCCCTTCTGTTCCAGCAAGGAGAGGTAGCAAAGTCTATCACGTCAACTGGATCCCTGTCTCCACCTGGAGAGTTTGCAACTCAACAGGAAGAATTCAGGTGAGCTCAGAGGGTGAAGACCGACAAGGCCATCAGAAAAACCCTCCAAGGCTGCCAAGGACATTGTGAGCCTTGGAGTGACAGCACCCTGCAGAGCCACTCTCAGCTGGAGCCCTGGGCTGGACAGATCCCAGCACTTCCAGCCCCTGTCTGTGCTCAGAGGGGCTTGGCAAAGGAGACCTCCCTGCCACTCAGGGCCAGGAGCTCAGCCAAGCTGACACCTCCCTCCCCAGGGCTTTGGCATCACTTACATTGAAAGCCTAAGGAAAAACAAGAATGAACTGATATCCCAATGTTGAGGACACCTGGATCCAACATTCCTCGTGAGGCAGTGGATAAACCAGTGCAACAAAATAATGGGAGAGTGGAATGAGGCCCCTGCTTGGCTTGTTAAACCATAAGGTCCCAATGAAAACTTCCTTGGAGTGGAGCCCTTGGAGTGGACCCCCATGGATTCCTCTCTAAGGGCAATGGAGATCCTGACATGTCCAAAAGAGGAGAGGTTCAGGTCAGCACTGCAAAGCTGGAGGTGGCGGGACAGCGTCAAATTCCCTCAAATGGAATGGGCCAGAGTCAAATTCCCTCAAATGGAATGGGAGCCACCAGGAAAATGTGACCCAGAGAAGAGCTGCTGGAGTGCTGAATTCAAAACACCAGCAAACTGGTGGAGAAGCTCTGTCCAGCTTCTGCCACCCTTCTTTCCCCTTGTCTTCCAAAAAACCCTTCATAATTAGGCAAAGTCTCTCTCCAGCAAACACCAGAGACTTTTTTGGAGGTATTTGGCTCAGCCAGGGACTGAGACAGCATTTTGCCCCTCTACCGTGATGCCTTAGGTTTTAGCTCTCATATTTTCCAGATTCTGTGCTGCATTAGTGTGTAGATCTGAACTTCATATAAAGTGTCAGCAAGTTCTCCTCACAGCTCAGTCAGACAGAACAATCCTTTTCCAGCTTAAAAACCAAGGACACCACTGCAGCTTCAGGCCCAAAAAGTGCAAACAACAGGGAATTGAGGAGAGGAGAATGTGGGAGGATGGGACTGCATAACCTGGAGCTGGAATTGGACAATTAACCCCAATATGGAAATGGACCAAAACTTATAAAAGTGTGAAAACTCGTGACTCAGAGTCCATCTTTGGTGTAGCCAGAGCCAGGCTCTGGCACTGCCCAAGATGTATCCTTTGAAGGCCTTTTAATAAATCCCTACTTTAATAGGAAATTCCTGTGCAGGAAAGTAGATTAATAATCTGGATTGATCTGACTGATTATTAGGCTGTTGAAAATAAACCATGTATGGTGTGCTGCTAAGTGCAAAACATAAGAAAAAGGAAGCATATTTACCTTTTTCCTCACAGTGGTAATAGATGATGCAGTGAGGTAAGCAAGCACATTTTAGTCCTAAGAAAACTGTTACATTGAACACCCTGAACCTGTTAGTTTCAAAACATTTCCATTATTGAGTTTGCACTAGAATCAAGGGTTAAGATTATCATCTTAAAGGGTTGGATTATCATCCAACCATCACTGTTTTCTTAGGTTTTAATAATGCCACTGCTCACTTCATTTTGCTGGATATGGCTTTGCTACCAAGCAAGTTGTGTTTTTTTCATGAAACATGATTTCAGGTACATGTATTACCTTCAGGTAACCTCTTAAATCCCTACTTAATGAAGAAAACTACGACCTGCCTGAACAGCCTCTGCTCTAGGTGGCCTCTCCAGGCATCAGCTGTGTTTCTATGAGGGCAGGTGGTGGGGACAGGCAGGGCTGGGCTGGTACTCACGTGTTGTGGAGGACACACCATCCGCAGTGCGGGTCTCCCGAGCCCAGGCACTCGCTGCAGGTCTCGTACTGGCTGCACGACTCCACAGGCACCCTGGTGAGCTGCAGGAGGGAAGGGAAAACCTGTCAGGCTTCTCACACAGCTCAGGATGGCTGGATGGAGGTGCCACCCTCCCTGGCCCCTTCCTGCCTGTCTGTAGTGGATGTTTTTCGCCCCCGACAAAGGAGGAATGATGAGGAGGACTCCATCTTATCAGATGGCTAATTAATTACTTTATTATACTGTATTAGTTTATATTATATTACATTACATCTAAACTGAATCTGCCAAGCACTCAACTCTGCACACACTGCACAGAATCTCAGCCAACAGTCCCAACACACACACACACACACACACCTGGCCCTGACAGGCCAAGGAAACAAAACCCCATCACTCTGGGTAACCAATCTCCATATTGCATTCTGCTTTTGCACAAACACAGGCACAGCAAATGAGATAAGAATATTCTTGGGAAGAATTGTGCCTTGCTTTTCTCTGTGAAGAGAAATGTGGGGCTACACACTGTGACCATGTTCAGAGGAGTCCGAGGATGAGGGAAGAGATGAGGATCTGACTCCATGTTTCAGAAGGCTTGATTTATTATTTTATGATATCTATTATATTAAAACTAAAAGAATATATTATATTATATTATACTAAAAGAATAGAAAAAAGGATTTCATCAGAAGGCTGGCTAAGGATAGAAAAGGAAAGAATGAATAACAAAGACTTTGGCTCGGACAGAGAGTCTGAGCCAGCTGACTGTGATTGGCCATTAATTAGAAACAACCACATGAGACCAATCAAAGATGCACCTGTTGCATTCCACAACAGCAGATAATCATTGTTTACATTTTGTTCCTGAGGCCTCTCAGCTTCTCAGGAGGAAAAATCCTAAGGAAAGGATTTTTCAGAAAAGATGTCTGTGACAACACACTTGGCCCTGATAGGCCAAGGAACCAAAACACCATCCCTTTGGGTAAACCATCTCCATATTGCATTCTATTTTGGCACAAACACAGGCACAGCAAATGAGATAAGAATTGTTTTTCCTTTCTCTGAGGTTCAGAGAATGTGAAACCCAGAAATATTCTTGGGAAGAATTGTGCCTTGCTTTTCTCTGTGAAGAGAAATGTGGGCCTACACACTTGGCCCTAACAGGCCAAGGAAACAAAGCACCATCATTGTGGGTAAACAGTCTCCACATTGCATTTCACTTTTGCACAAACACAGGCACAGCAAATGATAAGAATTGTTTCTTTCCTTTCTCTGAGGTTCAGAGAATGTGAATATCAGAAATATTCTTGGGAAGAATTGTGCTTTGCTTTTCTCTGTGAAAAGAAATGTGGCTACACCTGTCCTCCTGCAGGAACACCCTTGCAGCGCAGGGCAGGCAGAGGGATGGGGATGGTTTGCTCCAGAGCTCAGCCTGGAGCAATCCCTATCCACATCCTGCTCCACATCCCCTGTGGCCTTTCCCTCTCCCTGTAGCCCTTCATCACTTGCAGGATTTCCCAGCAATCAGCAAATCAGGCAGGCTGAGGGGATGTGCTACCTTGAAATTAAGTTAATTCATTTTGAGATCTGCAGTAAGTTAAACTCCCTGGATCTCATTGATCTCTCTGGTTTTGGACTCTGTTGCTTTCTGGCTTCCTGTGAGAACTGAGGTCTTGTGATGTCTTTGTCTCCCTCCCATGACCTCCTGCCATCACCAGTCCCCACTGCCACCACCACTGCTGGTCCCAGGGAAGCATTAGCTCCACTCCCCTTTGCCTGTGCATTTTTCCAACCATCTCTTGTCCCATCCCTGGAGAGGTTGCTCCCAGCAGGGAAGGGACAAAGGCTACCAGGCTGGATATTTTCTTCCTGTAGCCCTGCTTCTGCAGCTCAGAAGGCATTAGAGTAGGACCTGAAACACCCAGGTACTGCCAAAATACCGCATTTTATCATCTATTTTTTCTTTTATTTTTCCTTTTTAATTAAAGTGTTTCAGCGAGAGGTTTCAAAGGTTGAAGGGACTGCCCAGCCTGACCTCCTGTCTCACAGATTTTGATTCCTCTTACATTTTGTAAGCCCCTCACAGCTTTTGAAGCCAAACACACAATTTGGGCCCAATGACCTGCGAGTCCCTTTTCCATTGAATAAGCTTCAGAGAGCCTCTGTAATATCCAGTCAATTGCTGGTGTCTTCACCCCAGTTCCTGTCAGCAGGGAGAGTTTATTCCCTCAGATGATGGAGTGAGGCATTATCCTGATGAAACACCACTGAGAGCTGCCAGCTCTAAACTGCAGAACAGTTACTCCTGACAAATGATGAGGGAATGCACCTGGATCCCAGGGACAATTTTTTTACTTGGCACTGCATTCAGGAGAGTTTGAGCTGTGGAGTGACAGACTAAGATCCATCTCAACTGCATCTGTAAATGAACCAAGAACTGGCTTTTTAATTTTTATATTTTTATTTTAATATAAATATGTATCAGGCAAAATTCCAGCTCCGTATGAAGACCTTTTTCTGGTTGTATCAGAAATTGTTTTTCTCACCCCCAAATCCCAGTTGATAGTCTATAAGCAAAAGCTGAAAATGTGCAGCTTTGCCTCTGGCAAATGGCAGAAGCTTTAGAAAACTTCAGGTAGAAACATGATGGGGTTTATTTACCATTGCACCAGAGCCTGTGCCAAGTCACCCAGAGGAGCCAACTGCGGCTACTGAAAGCCTTTAATGAAAAAGTGAGAATGAGGGGAAAAAACTCAAACAAAAACCAACACAAACTCACTTTTCTCAAGTGAATCTATAGCCATGAGCATAAAAACACAATCAGAACAAACCACAGAGCAGTAAAAGTTATAAGAACAAGACAGGGAAGGAGTAATTCAGATTTCTCTAATTATGGTGGCTGTGTCAATTATTAAAGGTTAGATTTGATGATTTTAAAGGTATTTTCCAAGATTCTATGATTCTTTCAAGAAGTTTAAAAATTAAGATTGTTTGGCCATGAATGAGGTTGTTTCACCTTCCTTAAGCTTCTGATCAAGAAGTTATCACCTATTCATGAAGAATAAATTTTATGCCTCAGGTTTTCACCCAATTAAACTTGTTGAACCCAATAGTCTGTGTTGAATCCAAATTCCAAAAAGACAAAAGTTTTTACAAGAAGATACCAAAAGGTATCACATAATAATATATAATAATAGATAATAGATAATAGATAATATATATAACATTATAATTTGTAATTTACAATTTATAATTTATAAATTTATAAGTTATGAGGCTCACATTATCATTTATTATGTCAGCCATTCCCACCTTGTATTTCCACCTGAGAAAAATATATTGTGAGTTATCTCAATCACATCAAGCTTGGCCATGTCTGCACTGTGGCCACCAGAGGACTTGAAGAAGAAGCAGCTAATTTAGTTTTGAAAGACTCTAAATCTGCCATTCCTCAATCCAGATGCAATTCCCACCTGGTAATTAGAATTTTGTGAGCACAGTTGGGTTTGGCTCTGAAGTTCCCACCCAAACCACCCTCAGTTTGACATATGGTGCTGCTTGATTTATCCTCATTAGCTCTAGATAGTTCCATCCAACCTCGTTTCTGAGCCAGTTTACACCTGTCTGGTAAGAAGTGAGCCATGGTTGAGAAGTTTAGATCAGAAAATGAACTTTTCCAACACCTGCTGATCCTGGCTTGAATGCTCAGAGTTAAAATCCACCTGTGGCTCAGATATAGGTAGAAGAAAGAAGTCCTAGAGGACTGAAATTTGCCATTTCTTGGCAAATTGCTGTAAAAAAAGTAGATAAAAGGTGGTCTCTGTATGTTTTATTTTTATTAGTTAATTAGCCATCAAAGGATAGCCAAGCTCATTGGCAGGAGAAACCTACTGGGAACCCAGACTTCATCTTTGCAGAAATGTTTTCTTTTCAGTGTTTTTGGGGATATTTTGTGGGATATGCGTTGCTTTTAGGAGCACACCTGGCTTGCTCTGCTGTCCCAGGGCCCACAGGGATTTGTCACGAGCCCCCCACATCCCAAATCCTGTCAATCCCACCAGGGTGTGTCTCTGTGTGCATTATTCCTGCCCTAAAAGTCCTTTTAGGAGCTCACCTCTAGCAGCTTTATGGTGAGATTAATTAAAACTGTACCACGCTGATAAATGTCTTGGGCTGGAAGTGTCAGACCTCCCAATTAATGCAGAAAGAAAACACAAAAAACAAAGGAGCTGCAGCAGAAAGAAAAGCCACCTAAGGGTCGTCTGCTGAAAAGAGGAAGAACATCAAGCAAATAACGCACATCAGAGGTCTTATTTTCTTTTTTGGAGCATAAACTGTAATTAATTCAGCTCAGCTTTCCACGTTGAAGGGTTTGAGAGCTGACTGTGTCCCTCCAGGGAACAGCCACTAAAATGTCAGCAGAAGGGAAGTCCATGCAGCCTCCCAGTTACAGAGCCTTGCCATTATTCACTTGATGAATAATGATGAAGGGACCAAGGCAGTGCTGGAGGTGGAAATCTCCATGGCAAACCAGGCTGTGCTCACTCCCTCCACCCCTTCTCCATCCTTGGAGAGCCTGACAAACTCTTCAAGGTCATTTCCCAACCTTGGTGAGGGTCCCTACCCCTGGTTCTTTGTGGGAGTGAAACCTGGATTCAACATTTTCCAGCAAATACCACGGAATCCTGGAATATCCTGGGTTAGAAGGGACCCACAAGGATCATTAAAGTTCAGTCCTTGATTGAAGGGCAACTCCAAGAATCCACCACGTGCCTGAGAGTGCTGCCCAGAAATAACCAGGGATTCAGCAGGATTAGAAAAGGAAAGTGTCTTTCTTTCATTTTGGGGCAAATACCACAGAATCCTGGAATATCCTGGGTTGGAAGGGATCCACGAGGATCATTGAAGTTCAATCCTTGATTGAAGGGCAACTCCAAGATTCCACCACGTGCCTGAGAGTGAGTGAGGGTCCCTAGCCCTGGTTCTTTGTGGGAGTGAAACCTGGATTCAACATTTTCCAGCAAATACCGCGGAATCCTGGAATATCCTGGGTTAGAATCCT